ATTATGATTATATTTCAGGGTATGAGATAACATTTTTTCATATTAGTCTGCTGTAAAAAATGAAAATAGCTCCTTTGTTGTTGTTTTGGCAGATTAACAATGCTTAATGCTTGGGGGATGCAGCCTGCTCCGACACTTTGCGTGCGGTGGCGTTCGGCTGTTTCTCCACTGCTTTACGGCCGTCTCTGAAGAGCGCACAGGCCCCCTCCTGACCAGGGTGGGGCCATGCACAGAGTCAGTTCCGGAGGGCCCGCTGAGCTCTGCCACGGCTGCTGGAACCGGCTGCTGTTACGTACAGGTCACATCCTTGGAAGCAAGACAGCCCACCCACGGCCTGGCTCAGGGGCAGTTTTGTGGTCCCGTCGGCTCTCGTGTGGCCGTGCTCCCTACCAGTACTGGCCCTGGACTGGCCACGTGGCACTGGGGCACCCTGGGCCTGGCTCAGGGAAACCTGGCCTCCACCTCGAGCCTGCACTTGGCTGGCCGTGTGCGGCGGGAGGGCAGCCTCTGGGAACGGCAGTCCTGCACCTGCGGAACGGGATCAGGAGCCCGGGCCGGCCGGGAGCAGGCGACTGCATGCGCTGACGATGTGGAGGTGGCCTTGGGCCCGCGTCTGGGGCACCTCAGACCCCGTGTGCCCTTCCCAGGGCCGCTTGTCCAGCTCCTGGCTGCCTTTCGCTTGAACGGTCAAGTGCCTCTGCCCAGAAGCCTTTCGGGCACTTGGGCCAGGGATTCCCGCGCTCCGCGTGCTCAGCGCTCGTGACTGCAGCGTGCTTTCCGGCTCACGCAGTTGCGCAGTCAGGTGCCAGGCTGGGGGCTGTGGCCTTGGACAGGACGCCGTCCCAGCTTATCCTTCAGAGCCACGTCCTAGCTGCTGTATTTATGGATCACCCTGCCGCTTAGGAGCTCTAGTCATCTTTTTAATTCTTAAAACTTACATAGGCGCATTGTAGATGCTACGTAGGTGATAAAAGTCTCACAGTCAGGGTTTTGGTGTATTTCCTTTCAGCCTGGCTGGCTGTTCTTCCATCATCCGTTCATAAGTGGTGTCTGTCCATTAGTAACAAAATGATGTCCCCACTGAAATGTCGCGTGTCCCACTCTTGAGCACTTAACAGTCGCTATGAGCATTTCCCCACGTCATTCACGATGCTCTGACAACACGACTTTCCGTGGCCGTGTCGCGTTTCTTTGTGCAGATGGGTCTCGATTGCCCACTGCCGAGCTCGGAGGTGCTTCTGGGGCTCGCTGTAAGTGCCTCCCCGCCGGGGATCTCTGTGCACACTCCCCGCTCACATGTGGGTGATTAGGGAGGTGAGGTCGTGAGAAGTAGCACCACTGGTCGGGAGTTTCGAGTGAGCGACTGTGAGGCTCTCGTCCCCCGCCCCGCCCCGCCCGCCTCGTGCCTGCTGCGTTGCAGAGGTGAGTGGAGCCGGGCTCGGGGTTGGCCAGGCTCTCTGGAATCCTGAGCCGGCTCTGGGGACATTTCACCAGGGATACCGCCTGGAGGCCCGCAGCTGTGAAGGCTCGGGGACACGTGTCCGTGTCCTCGGAGACCGTTTACTCCCTCCTGCAGCATGTGCGTCCCCGCAGACTGGGCCCTCAGTTTTTGTGACTTTAGTGCAGATGCTGGCCCCGTCTCAGAGCCTGCACTGCAGGCTGAGCTGAGTCATGTGACAGTCGTCCTAGGTCACGTGTGCTTGTCTCCACCTGTACCTGGGCAACTGCAGGTCCAGTCCCTGCACCTAATGGCAACGGAGCCAGACACAGTGGACACTTGAGAAATGTGTGCCAACGAGCAGTCACCCGGCTGCTCACCCTGCGGGTTGCATGCAGTAGTGGGGAGTCGCTGGTCGGGAGTTTCGAGTGAGCGACTGTGAGGCTCTCGTCCCCATTGCTGGTGGCAGCCGGACCCTGCCTGCCTCGTGCCTGCCGCGTTGCAGAGGTGAGTGGAGCCGGGCTTGGGGTTGGCCAGGCTCTCTGGAATCCTGAGGCGGCCTCTGGGGGCATTTCACCAGGGAGACCGCCTGGAGGCCCGCAGCTGTGAAGGCTCGGGGACACGTGTCCGTGTCCTCGGAGACCGTTTACTCCCTCCTGCAGCATGTGCGTCCCCGCAGACTGGGCCCTCAGTTTTTGTGACTTTAGTGCAGATGCTGGCCCCGTCTCAGAGCCTGCACTGCAGGCTGAGCCGAGTCATGTGACAGTCGTCCTAGGTCACATGTGCTTGTCTCCACCTGTACCTGGGCAACTGCACGTCCAGTCCCTGCACCTAATGGCAACAGGGCCAGACACAGTGGACACTTGAGAAATGTGTGCTAACAAGCAGTCACCCGGCTGCACACCCTGCAGGTTGCATGCAATAGTGGGGAGTCGTTGACAATCTCCTCACTTCGTCTGCATAGATGCAGAAGCCGTTGTGTTCATTCAGCCTCCAGACAGCGTTTGGTGTGCGTACGAACCAAGAGACTCCTTGCAATAACTCCGTGGTCCCCAGAAGCTCTGCTCTGTTAAATGTCAAAGAACTCCCTTTTCCCCGGAAACATGGAAAGAATCAAGAAGACCCACAGGTCCGTGGGGAAGTAGCTGCAGTGAAAACCGGAAGATGCAGTCGCTCTGCGACATGTCTGGCTCCTGGCGAGCTGGTGGCCTCCTCTGTGGCCGGGCCTCGGGCTGGACTCGCCTCATGTTTCTGGTGCCTGCGTCGGGCCCACCCCATGGCCACTGCTTGATAGATGCTGAAATGAACAAAAAAGTCATTGATATGTGACTTGGTCTTGTGCTCGTCTCTGTAATGATTTTCATTTCAGATATTGTTTCAAAAGTATCTTAGCTTTAACTCAAAGGGGCTCAGCTCATGCTCTTCAGCCAAGAGCAGGTGGCAGAGTCTGGTCTCTGCTTCCTGCCAGCTGTGACTTGGGCAGGCCTTTATCATCCCTAGCCTCAGTGTCCTCATCTGTAGAGTGGCGATTACAAACCTACTTTTGCCTAAATGATAGGATCACAGTAGGATCAGCAGGATGCACGTGGAACACAACATGGCCCCGTATAAAGAAAGCAAGTATGATTGTAGTCTCCTTTTATTTGGGAAGCATTTTGGGTTCCTTAGGAATAAAGCATTTCTTGGAAAAAAATAAAATCAATCAACAGTATTCACGAGAGACTTCCATCGATGAAGCAGTGTTCTGCTTTGTTAAATTTCTGGATCGTGTGGTGTCTGGTAGGCGAGCCCCCTCTGAGGCCATCACTCTGCCTGCACGTTCGGGGAGGAGCCCTGTCTTTGAGTCCAGAGAGGTCTCTCTGCTGGGACTCCAGGGCCTGGTGGGGTTCTGTCCTCGTCGTGGAGGTCTCCTGCCTTTTTCTATAGTCTCCTCTTTCTCGTAGGGGAGTTTTACTGTAAAGAGGACAAAAATGAGGGAGGGGACAGCAGGGGAGGCGAGATCCAGAGATTTTTGTTTTGTTTTGCTTTGAGATGGAGAGAGAACAGCACATAGGGAGCATAGAGAGGGAAGAATCGATGATCTGGAGAAAGAAGTTTCTGGAAGGGTGTCGTTGAGTGGGTGGTAGGGGTTGGGGCTCAGTGCACACAGGCCATTGTGTCCTCTATCCAGTGGCCCTCCCAGGTGCAGGCACAAGAGTGCATGTCTTCGGAGAGATTAAAAGCAATAACATCGGTTAAATGTTCTGCTTTTTATCTCCACGAGCCACCAGTTCTAAACAACGTCAGAAACATCGATGAAAATACTGCCTGCACCAGGCTGGGCCTCTCCCACTGATCCCGCACCTCCCATACACACACCTTCTATGCTACTGCTGGTGCCAGCCCTCACGCCCACAGGAGCGAGGCTGGGTGCTGGGTGGAGGTGCAGGCGGTTGGCAGGTGTGATGGTCGCAGCTTGTGGAGGCCGCCTTCTGGCCGGGCGCTTCAAGTGAAAAAGGAAGCGAGGTCAGCAGGGAAAGTGAGGCTGGGAGTGAGCAGAGAGGGGCAGGTGTGATGTACAGAGTCAGTGGCCTAGAGGCCTGTGTGACCGCTCTGTGGCTTTAAGAGTCTCCAGGACGCTAGGGATGGTGAGGGCCTAAGGGACCCAGGCAGCGTGGGTGAGGACACGCAGTGGGCAGACATCGGGTGTGGTTTACCGAGTGCCTGCTATGTTCCCACTGCAGAGTAGGCATGCTAGCTGCATTTCCTATTAAATCTGCAAGTTCCTGCTTCTCCAAGGTCACCCGGCATCACGGCGTTTAGAGATGGGGCTTGGTAATTTAACCTGGGTCTGTCTGGCTTCAAAGCCATTGTCCTTTCCATCACTCCAATTCTGCCTTTCAGTGTAAATAAATAATAATAATAAAAATCTAGCTTTTAATTGTTATTGGCTCCTAAATTTAATATTCCTATATGTGCCTATAATTATCAGTCTCAAAAGTCAGTTTTTCTCATTAAGTCTCCCTGCCTAGTACAATGGGGTGAACATAATAGATATCAGCGAATATTTGTGAGCAGTGATAATGCTTTAAATCGGAGTTAAGTGGCTTAAAAACCCAGCAGATTCCCATCCTTCTTGTTCTTCGTTCCCGTGCCAGCCGATGAAAGCTGTCTTGGCACTTGAGAAGTGCTATTTTGATCCATTTTTTCTTGCACCTAATTTAAGAGAGTCTAACGAGGATACTTAACTGCTGTTGGTGCAGTTTCTTCAGTGGAAGGTTGGCTACTTTGCCGCGCGGATACTGGAGTCTCGGTTGCGGAGTGGGTTTGGGGAACGGGGAGCTCCATATTAGATCCTAGCCAGAAGGACTGAGGTTTTGAAATACCAGAGAAAGTTTGCTACTGGTGACTGGGGGCACCGGAAGTTAGAAATGAGCTGCCTGGCAGTGCAGGTGTCCACCAGAGTGGCATAAGCTGGTAGAGGCTGGCGATTGCTCGGTAGGGCAGCCTTCAATGTTTTCTTAGTTGGAAGTCATAGTTTCTGCGAAGATGAAACAACTTTTTTTTTTTTTTGTTACAGAACACACGGCCATCTTCATGTGTAAATGTTGTAACCTTTTCTCACCAAGTCAGTCGGAACTGCTCTCCCACGTTTCTGAGAAGCACACAGAAGAAGGGGTCAATGTCGATGACATCATTATCCCCCTGAGGCCTCTGAGCACTCCAGAACCCACCAACCCAAGCAAAACGGGAGATGGTAAGGGGGCTGGGCGCCGGGTGGGGACACCATGCCCACGACGTGCGTGTCTGTGATGGTGATGCCAATTTGCTCTCATTTACTTGCATTCTGCGTTTCTGTTTTTGTCTGGTGGGCATAGAAGCCTAGAAAATTTAAATTTCTAACCCAGAATTCAGAATAAGTTGTCTAATTGTAGATCTGTTCAAATGAGATTGTGTCTTTGAATGCCCTTTACTTGGTCCCTGTAGGTGCTTCTCCAGTGCCTGGTCGGTCGGTGGGTGGGTGGATGGATGAAGGGAGAGTGAGGGAGGGAGGGATGGAGGGAGGGAGGGATGGAGGGTTGGATGGAGGGGGCACCATCCAACAGTATAAAAAGCATGACCTTGCTATCAAATACTTGTGGGTTTTAATCCAGCTCTAGGACCTACTAACTGCATTACTTGAAGCACATGATGTTATTTCTATAAGCCTCACTTGCTTTTCCAAAAAATGAAGACAGATATTCTTGTCACCGGAGGGCTGTGAGGATTAAGCCAAAGAGCAGTAACTAGAGCAGCTGGGATGGTGCCTGGCACGGAGAGGACAGTGAGGGAGGCCGTTACTCCAGCACACGTGGTAAAGTAAGTATACCTGATGTTAAAAACAGCATTTCTGAACTGACCGCGTACACTTGGAACAAGGATTCAAATTGCAGAAAGCTTCGATTCGCCCAGGACCCCTCCCTCACGTCCTGCCGGTGTGTGAAGTGGGATGCATCCTGTCTGCGGTGTCCAGACGTCCCCCACTGAATGGTGTCAGTTGCAGCAGGTGGATGGAAAGGAGAAGCCATCCAGGCACTGTAATTAGGTACCCACAGACGAAGAAATACATGGCCAGGAGGAGCGGCTACCAACGAGAGCTAGAAGGAAGCCCCACAAAGCCGTTTGGTGAGGCAGCGCCAGTCTCCTGTGCAGAAGCTCAGGCTTGGCAGTGAACGTCCCATCGCTGGATTCATTAGACACTCTAATAATTTAAGTGCTCCTTTCCTGGGAGTATTCAGACGCTTTTCTAACCAGGCTGGCTTGTCGGTCATCTGTGGGACGCCATTACCCCAGGACGGCTGCAGACAGAAGATGCTCTGGTGAACGGGGCCGCTGGCCCCCCAGGGCGCTGGGGAAGCACGCCTGTCAGGACGTCACACGTCCTCCTAGTGTGGTGGTTGCTTCAAGTGCAAACTGAGAATCCAGCACCTGTAACTGGCAGTGGCGAATGAGGAGGACTGTGCAGTATATGTCATGGTCACCATCGGCTAATGCTGGGGGTGTGTCCATGGTGTTCCTCAGCCCGTCCCCAGCCTGTGAGCAGATCTGTCCTCTCCCCACTCAGAGAAAGCAGGGGTGAGGTGGGAAGTTGTACGTAATCACATCTCAACCGATAGTTCATGTGTGATTCTCTTTGCTCTGGGGAAGGGGAGGTGGGTGACGGTCTGTGCCGGGCCCTGGGAATCTACCCAATAACCTGATGAAAAACACGGCCAAAAGACCTGAATAGACGTTTTTCCAAAGAAGATGTCCAGATGGTCAACAAGCACATAAAAAAGTGTTCAACGTCACTAATAATTAGGGAAATAGAAATCGGAACTGCCGTGAGGTGTCGCGTCACACCCGTTAGAATGCTGTCGTCAGAAGGGCAGAAATAATAAGTGTTGGTGAGGACGTGGAGAACAGGGAGCATCTGTGCACTGCTGGGGGGATGTAAAGTGGTGCAGCCACAGGCAAAAAACAGTATGGAGTTTCTTCAGGAATTAAGAACGGAACTATGATGTGATCCAGCAACCTCTCTTCTGGGCACGCGTCTCTCAGAGAGATAATCTGCATCTCATGTTCACTGCAGCCTTGTTCACAGAAGACAAGCCGTGGAAACAACGCTAAGCATCAGTGGACGGATGAATGGATACGGAAAATGTCACGCAAAGAGAGAAAAATTATTCAGCCATAAAAAAAATAAGGAAATCCTGCCATTTCCAGCAGGCCCGACCCTGGAAGACGTTGGGCTAAGTGAAATGAACCAGATGCAGGAAGACGAGCAGCACGTGAGCTCCCTTACATGTGGACTGCAAGACAGCCACACGTTTGGAATGCGTGCGACATGGCGATTCTGCTCCAGGATCTTGCTAAGAACTTGCTCGGAACTTGCTAAGATAGTCGACCCAAAGCGTTCTCCCCACACACGAAACTGGTTACTGCGTGAGGCGGAGGACGTGTCGGTTAACTTGACTGTGGCAGGCGTTTCTACGTGCGTGCTTATGTTCGATCATCTTGTCGTCTACTTTAAACATCACATAGTAGAACCTAAACATACACAATTTTTATTTGTCAATGAGCCTTAATAAACCTAGGGAAAAAAATCTGTCTAGTACCAGGGACCTCAAAGCTCGGCCACCCCTCCCTCTGCTGCTCAGTCTGGGAGTAAGGCTCATCTGTCATGACCTTCCGGGAGGGACCTTGGTGACCCTATGGCCACCTTCCTGCTAAGTGGTTGAGGTGCCTTGGCTTTCCAATGAGTGTGGCTTACCAGAGAGATGGGACCAAAGCTTTAGTCAAGAACTGTAAATGTCTGTATACCTGCCTCTGGGGTTAAACAGCCACAAACTTAGAAAAATGGATAATCTCTTGTAAAATTTATATGGCAGATAGAAGTCCTAAGGATTAACATGTAAAGAACTTTGCAAAAGGCTGGTACAGAGCTTTTAATTCTATTTTTATTCAGCTTTGCTTATTAGGATTTTCTTCCTACTAAAACGAAATGTGAATAAGAGATGGAAAAATCTGAATTTTTCGTTTCATTTATAAATAATAAATGAGGAAACGATAATAAAGCAGGTGGAATTTCGCAGTGGCTGGTGTGCGTCACTGGTTCGTAAGGTGCACGTGTGCTGACTTCCGCCCTCCCCTTCTGTCCAGTTCCTGAGAGATGTCACCGGCCAGCTGGAGCTCGTCCTGAGCTGCCCCCTCCTCCCAGGGAACCCCGTCCCTGTCTCTCCCCCAGCCAGCCCGCCATGCCCCGTCCTTCTTCTTCTCCCCGTCTCTGGCCTCTGGCCCTTCATGCTGCCTGGGGAGCCCCATGCAGGTGTCTCCGCCTGGCTCAGCCTGCGTGCTCCTCAGGCCTACCTGGCGTGAAGATGCCTCGAGGAGCCCATCCCTGGCCTGCGGGGTAGGAGGCCCTTCTCTGGGCCCCGACCACCCTGTAAACACGTCTCGGTCCTGTCCTTCCTCGGTGCGCTGTCGTCATCTCTGTCCCCTTGTTTTGCTTGTCGGAGAACACCCGAGGACGGGGTTTGGGCTGTTTGGCTCTTTGGTCCCAGGGCCTGGCACAGGGCCTGGCACAGGGTGCATCCCCTTCCATGTGTCATGGTTGAACCAGTCACCTTTAGTTGTTGTTTGTTTTCTTGCCTCTGGCTCTGCTGCCCCTCTGTCTTTGGAGGATGTGCTCCATCCACCTGTCACCCCTCACTCAGAAAGCTCCAGTGGCGCCCTCTCATCCACACCAGAGCTCCCCAAACTGGTAGACCTGGGAACCCTTCTGACTGGCCTCGGCGCCATTCCTTTCTCTGCGGTGCCTCGGCAGCGTGACTTCACGGTGGGGCCCGTTCTTTCCTCTGGTGCTGCAGGCCCCGTTAATAGCCGAACAGGACCTCCAGACCCCAGGCCTTTCTCTTCCTTGCTGCTGCAGGTGGACCCACACCTGTAAAGCTCTCCTTCACTCCTTGGGCACACTCAGGTGCTTCTCTTGGGCCAGGCACTGTGTAGGTAAACCCATCAAAGCAATTACATAATTCCTTTATATACCTTTTTTATTTTTATTTTTTTCTCAATTACAAAAGTAGTAACACCTTGCTGAAAAGGTTAAAACAATATAAAATGAGGAAGGCAAATATCCCTAACCGTCCCCCCAAGTTCCTCTTTGGATGGTCTTTACACCTTTGTCAAAAATCAGTTGACCGTATATGTATGGATATAGTTCCGGATTCTCAGTTCTGTTCCGTTAATCTGTGTGTCTTCATACCAATAGAAAAGTCTTTAGATGATGGTAGCTTTGTAGTGTGTTTTGAAGCGGGGAAGTGCAAGTCCTTTAATTTTGTTCTTCTTTATCAAGATTGTTTTGGCTATTCAGGGTCTCTTGCAATTCTATGTGATTTTTAGGTTCAGTATGTCTGTTTCTTCAAAAATGGTAGTTGGAATTTGGTAAAGACTGTGCTGAATCTGTACATCACTTTGGAGACAATATTAAGCCTTCTAATCCATCTTAACAATATTAAGCCTTCTAATCCATGAATGTGGGATGCCTTTTTATTTATGTAGTTCTTTAATTTCATTTGGCAATGTTTTATACTTTTCAGCCTTATACCTCCTTGGTTATTTTTATTTCTAAGTATTTTATTCTTTTTGATGCTGCTGTGAATGGAAGTACTTTTCTTAATTCGTTTTCACATTGTTCATTGCTAGTTTATAAATACAACTATTATTTGTATATTGACTTTGTATCCTGCAGCCTTGATGAACTTGGTTATTAGCTCTAATAGTTTTTTAGTGGATTCTTTAGGAGTCTATATAAGATCTTGTCATCTGCAAACAGAGATAGTTTTACTTCTTCTTTCCAGTGTGGATGCCTTTTATTTTATTTTCTTGTCTAATTGCCCTGGCGAGAAACTCCAGTACAGAGTTGAACGGACGTCCTTGTCTTGCTCCTGATCTGGGGAGAAAGCCTCCCGCCTTTCCCTGTTCAGTGACGTTAGCTGTGGGCTTTGGAGCTGCCCTTTATCAGCTTAAGTGCCCTCGTTCTAAGTTTGTTGGCTGTTTTTATCACAGAAGCGTGTTGGACTTCGTCAGATGTTTTTTCTGTTGAGGTGATCGTGACTTTTTTTCTCCGTTCTATTAATATAATGTATTACATGGATGGATTGTCCTATGTTTAATCACCCTTGCATTCCTAGAATAAAACCTATTTGGTCATAATGCATAATCTTTAATATGCTGCTG